CCCCCTGCCCCCACCTCCAAGCATATCCGCCCTGGGATTATACACGCTTCCTGTGTAACACTGCAAAGAACAATAGGACATGTTATTTGATCCTAATGCACTTTTCTTGCTCTAGGTCAGGCTGATTACAACCCCAAGGCCATTAAGACTTTGAGGGAGGAGGGTTTTTTGGGGGGAGGGGAGAACAAAGTTACCCTCTGCTCAAATTACTGATCAGTTAAAGCCTTATAATACTGTGCAATAAAATTTACTTTACCCTAACCTGGATATTACTTTTTGATAGATCGGAAGGCACTTTAAGTGATAAAACTGCTTTTTGTCATTATACATATTAATTATTACGGGTAATTGAAAATGCAAAAAAAATGAAATTTTTAGATCTTTCTGGTTGATAGCATGATAGATGTATCAGTTTGCATTCTACTAGAAAGAAGATAAAGTAGAAAAATGCCTTGTGATGTTTTCAGTGGCTCAGACCCCTACTGCCTATATTTCAGGTTGTTAATGTTGCTAAAAACTTCCTGAGATATGGAACTGAATAGTGTAGTGTAATTATGAAAGCCCAATAAAGAGTTTAAAAGTATGAATATTAAAAATTATTTTATTCTGTATGGAAGGCTTTTGTACATCATTAATCTTCACAATATACATTTAGTTTTTATCTAAATATAAGGGCTACGATTCCTACATGTCCAATCGGAAAATTCTTGCCCTACTGAAAGGATATTCAACAAGTCTGTCCTACCCAACTGTATTTGTATATATAGTTTCCCTATAGTATTTCTTTGAGGTTTAAATATTATATAACACAGATGCAAAAAGAATTTTCAGCAACATTACAAAACAGGGAAATCATTTATGTTTTCACAAAGTAAAACTGACTTATGAAGAAAGAGGGGCGTCCTTCTTTGAAAATTGCTTCCAGTGAGTTTCAGGGCCCAACCACCATTATCGTCACTTTCTCTACACAAATGATCCATTGTAGGCTGCAGTCAATTGCCACACAATTTTTTATACATCAAGGCTTAATGGAAAGAAGTAAGATGAAGAGGAAATATAAATTCAAATTTTCTGTTCATGGTCTAATGGCCTATTATTCAGCCAACTTTCTACATGTAGAAAGCCTTCATTAGTACACCATTAAGGGTGACATTAAAACTTCTGATCTGCTCTTCTAGGCTGTAAGTTATGTCTCACATAACAAATTTTACTTGAGCTCCTTCAGGTCTGGTATCTCTATCTATAAATATCTCTATGTGTTCATTATATCCTGCGATAGGAGTGCAGTGGTGCAGAGTATAAAAAACATAGGTACCTTGGTTTGAAAAGTTCCTTTTTGAAAGTGCAAAATTTAATTAAAAGTAAAGATGTAGGTGGCAGGACAGTAATGGAATGGATTTTAATTACTCTAATGTCAGACTGTTAGGCACAATAGTAAACATGCCCAGATGTTTCTATTAACACCAGGACCTTCCACTCAATAGAGTGTGATCTCCAGGCTGACTTAGGTCATCTTCTGAAAGATGCTGCTGAACCACTTCTCTCCATTTTAAAATGTTCCCCTTGGGAAGAATTTGAGTCCTACCCTGTCTCATCCCCAACCTTCACCCATTAGAGGGCATTTGAGGAAGGAACATAAAACTGCTTCTCTCTAAATATTCCATTTTAACCGTAAATGTTGATTTCCAGAACTTTCCATCCAGAGAGACTCATTAGCGTTTTAAGGTTCCTTTCACTAGGAAGCTGCTGAGGATATTCTCTTCACACTGACTAATTGGGAAGTGCGAGTTTCGTACCTCTAAATTGGTATATGAAGTTTCCAAATGGACAAGGAGGCAAGAGTTTTCAGGCACTGTCTCCTTCCTAACCCTTTCCTATCCACCTTGCTCTCGCTTTCAGATTCCAAACCATCTCTGGCTCACACCTGACCTCATTTCTAATAGAAGTTCTGGTTGTGCATAGAAGGTTTACAAGAAGCTACTACATCAGAAGGTTGGCTCATGATGGGGCTCCATTGTACACTGAGCTTCACCTAGTATCCAGACCTCTTGTCTAGCATCCCCTCTCCTGATCATAGGGACTCTTGGCCTCAGCTCCTGATTCTTTATTCTACCCTCTCCTAACCTGGGCCTATCTCCCAGGGGTCTTATCTGCCAGGGCTCTGCTGAACTCTTCTTCTCAGACTTAATCTGTTCTTCCTTGTCTCCCAGACACTGCCTGACCCCTCACAGGCCTTCTCTGGCCTGTGGGCACACGATCCAGATGAAAAAGACATCTAAGTCCTAATCTCTGCGGCACTACCAGAAAACTATGTGACTTCAGGCAAGTGGCTGAATGATCTGAGCTCTGTCTCTCTGTGTGTGACACCAGGGGCTGTGTTGGGGCATCTCTAGGGTCTCCTAGGATTCTAAAACTCTAGGAACTGCAGGGTCTCTTTCTTTTCTCCCTTTGCTCTCCATCTTCTAACTCTGTTTCAGGCAAATAAGCAGGAGTGCAAAGTGCCATGACACAGAGGGAGGACACCGTTACCTATTTGTAAAGATTACAGCATTTATCTTTATTTGCACAGCATTGTGAAGTTTATGGACTAAGGCGGCATGTTCGGAATCTTGTCTTACGTCTGTGTAGCCGGGTTCCCAGCATTTGAAGGGAGCTCCTCCACGTAAGCGGCAGGAAAATGACCCCTTTTTCCGTTCAAAGAACCAAACCACCATCCTTCTTCTTCTTTCTTGTATATAGTCACAATGTCACCTGTAAAAATGCACATTTAGTTAGACAAACAGGTCTCTGCCATTTAAGCACAAGCCTGAATCCAGTTGGTAAAACAATTTTAAGGAGATTGTGCTTTCAAGGAGTTACTTGTTAGCATCAGTCTCTGCATGTGATTTAGGTAAAGCCTAATTTATTGAACACCTCTGTGTGAAGCAGGCATAATGCAGAGAATATTAAAAAGCATAAGATAATGAGCAATCGAAGTTATGCCATAAAATAGTTTCATTAAAAACGAGTGGCATTGGGGCCCCTGGGTGGCTCAGTCGCTTAAGTGTCCGACTTCAGCTCAGGTCATGACCTCACAGTTCCCGGGTTCGAGCCCCGCATTAGGTTCTGTGCTGATAGCCTGGAGCCTGGAGCCTGCTTTGGATTCTGTGTCTCCCTCTCTCTTTGCCTCTCCCTTGCTTGCACTCTGTCTCTCACTCTCTTCTCTCTCTCTCTCTCTCTCTCTCTCAAAAATAAACAAACATCAAAAATTTTTTAAAAAACCCAGAATCATGTTGGATCATATATCCTTCTCATGCTGGATGGATGACTCACGTCAGATACAGCTTGTCATCAAACTCTTCTCTTGGTGTCTGTGTGTTAAGGGTTTCTCATGTTGGTGGCCAAGACAGTCTGCTATGGTGATGAAAGGGCGGGCCTACGCCAGCTGACTCCATCTTGTTCTGTGTCCTTCACCTTGACCACACCTCCTCCCC